GTAGGTGGGAGGCCATTGCTAGTAGGTTGGAGGCCAGTGCTGGTAGGCGGGAGGCCATTGCTACTATTAAGTATCGTTTTGTGCTTTTCGTTTTCGGAGTCCTCTCGTTTCCAGTTGTGAGGTCTCAGCCTCCGGAGCTGGCTTCGCGCAAGAAGGTTTTGAAGGATGAAGAGGACTGCGTTTTTTTGACGACATCTTGATGAACATTTTTTCAATTTTGCTCATGATTCGTCATTTCCCGTAGACAAATGCCTTTTGAATCAACTTATCAAGGAAAACACACAGGAAAGCTAGTGTTAGCTAGTTGAGTATGTTCTTGCTTAGCAAGCCAGGGGAGGCCTCCGACCAACACACTGGAAAACTCGCTAGAAGCTCCCCCCGCGAGTAGTAGCATCGATATCATAACGTTATGACGTTTCTTTTAAAAAAAAAATGTGTGTTTTTGTGAACTTTGTTAAACATCTACTTTTTCATATTGGGAAGACCATATGTTTGGAAAACACATTTGGACGAGGATCGGAATGCCGCCGTCATGTGAGCGCTGTGAGTGTAGCCAGCGTAGGCAGAGTCCGATAGCGTGAGCGGTGGGGCGGCTGAATGAAACGGCAAGCACAGCAGAAAGCTTGCAGAGAGAAGCAAACTAGAACAGATAACGAGAGAAGAGTTCTAAGTTGGGTCTATAGTATTACTTTGCTTCGAGTGATCCCAGTGATCCCTACTCTGAGAGGCGATTTGGAAGGCAGGGCACATGTATTGACAGACTATCCTGACAAATGCTGCCTGACATGTGCATCAAGTCTGGTGGTATGTGTTCCGACACGGGATCTATCATAAAGGCGGGGACATGTTCTGGGCTGTGTTCTGATATTTGTCCTACTGTGAAGTCTGACATGTGCTGTGACATATAGTCTGACTTTGGTTTTGATATGTGTTCTGACATGTGTTCTGCCCTCAGCCATCTATTCTAACATTTGCTCTGCCATCAAGCCTGCCACTTGTTCCAGCATATGCTCTGAAATCTGACTTGGCACTCTGAATGGCAAACGCACCGACATTCTCAGAATCATTTTTTTTGACATTCTATTTGGCACTATCTGGCATATCATCTGACATTCTTTCTGGCATCTCTTTTGGCATTTCTATCTGGCATTCTCAATGGTGTGCACGTCCGTGCGTGCCCACCCTGACCTGGCGGTCTCTATGGTGCTCAGGCCTCACCTGGCGCTCTCTATGGTGTGCAAAGGATAGCGGACGACGGAGGAAGGCGTACCACCTGCGTTAAGATCTAAAGACCATCACCTGGCAGGTAGGCAAAGAGAAGGCAAAGCACAACAACTTTCAGAGCCAAGCTGCAACCTTCGCCAGTTTGGCTTCATTTGCTGGCTTTAGCTCACTTGCGTGCCATTTGCTTAGGATATGAGGAAGCTTGATGAAGCTTGAATTTGTGCGAAAATTCTCTCCGTGTAACTTGGGACAAGCGACAATGAGTTGACTGGATGGGGCCTACGGAAGGGACTCTGCAACATACTTAATGTCGGTGGCCCTGATGGCATTTTGTTGTGTGAAGTGTTGAGTAGAAAACTTGATTGAAAAACCGACACGGCCTGGCCTCACTCTATGAACAACTGCAGTTTTGCACTGACAGTTGTAGCCGCAGGGATGAGGAGATGCAATCCAAAAAAGAAAGGGCTGATCCTCACGCGGCGGCTTTCTTTTGGAAACATACCAATTGTTTCCACGACTCTGGGACCAAAAGGGCCAGAGTGGCACTGACTGCCTTTCCTTCTTTGAGAATGTTCTCGAGACATCTCCGTCTTCGACATTTTCATTTTTGACAATTCAGGGTGTCGTAAAAGGCACCCGTGCATTAGGTGTCGCAGGGTCTCTGGAATCTCGGGAGCTGTTGATGAGATGCAATCGACTTCAACAAACAGGTTTTTTTGCCAAGAAGAACAGGTGCAGCAAGACTATCAGGTGCGTTTCGGGATCGAAAGACTATCTAAAACGTTTGCGCGCAATACACTGAAGCTTGACATCGTTTAGACTCAAATATACCATGAACCTGGCGCAACTCGATCATCAAAAGAATGGTGACTCCGCAGTACAGATTCTTGAAATCCGAAAGCAAAGAACACGACAAAGTGTGTCAGACAGGGGATCCTGCTGTGCTTCACTCCAGAATGCTTCATGGCAGTGTTCAGAAGAGTTGATACAATGCATGAGGGACTGTTGCTTTGGCATTGTAAAAAGCCGGTGAAGCAACGAGTGTTGTGTAAAAAATCAAAGCCACAACGAGTTGTCAACATTGGCTGGGACTTTGATTGTGAAGCGCACTGCACAAGGACATCGAGGCAAAGATTGTCGTGTATTTTGTCCAAACCAATATGTGGATGTAGATTTCGAACATGACACACCACTTCTGGCCAAAGATCCACAGTAGTTTCGATAGTTGATCAAGCTCTTCTTGACGCCCTCATGTCCGGGTCTCGTACCGGGATCCACGTGCTTCACCATTGTCAGCCAATTTGGCTGGTTTCAACTTGGTTGGGAGAAGTGGGCCGCCAAAGCCTGCTCGGCCCGCTGGGGTTTCAAATTATTTCAAATCCCAGACTGCGCCCAAAAAGAAGAAGCGAAAGGGATAGAGGGGAAGGGGATGGAGTCTCACATTTGTGTTCCATGCCACACGTTTGTGCCATGTGTGCCATGCATATTGAGCACAGCCAGGTTCTACTTACGGAAGCTGGATCAAGAGCCCTGGACCTAGATCTAAACGATTTAGGATGGGAGGGGTCCACTTGGGGGGGCGTGAAAGGTAGTGATTGATCCTTAGCGTGCTTGGCATCTTCAATGGTTGCAGAGAGGCCAAGCTTGGTGCCAAAAATGCTCAGGTGTAACAAGAAGCTGGGTGGCCGCTTTGCAAGGAGCGTAATGGTTGAATGAGAGGAAACCTCGTCGTTGGAGTGTAGGACTCTGCCTCCAACCAAAGAGCGATGGCCTTCAACCTAATAGGGATGGCCTCCCACCTACTAGCGATGGCCTCCAACTTAATAGGGATGGCCTCCAACGCGCTTCTGCTGCAGCTTTGTCTTGACAAATAGACGCAAGATAGCCGCCGTGTAACTAGGGTATCCATCCCATGTCAGACTCCTCCTGGCTCTGGGTGGGTGGCCATCGCTAGTAGTTTGGAGGCCATTGCTATTAGGTTCTTTTTGCTATTACTTCCTCCTCCGTGTGCCACGGAACCTCGATGCCACTGCAACACCTGTCCAGCTTCTTCGATGCACCAGCTCGGTCACCGCGTTTTACGTATCTCTCGTCCGGTGGCCTAGACAGACAAAGATGCATCTATTTTTTTTGAGAAACTACTCGGTTTTGTTGACTTTGCCTTTTGAAATCACAATGATCAGAAGAAGATTTGCTTGTCAAGGAGAGTCACTAGAAGGTTGGAGGCCATCGCTACTAGGTTCTTTTGCATTCTTTTGCTATTAGTTCTATATCAATTTGGTCCTTTGGAACTATCACTGAGCGTCCCCAAACGCAAACGCAAGCTTCAGACCTCCTTCGGAGTTCGCGGAAACCCACCCCGACTTGCCACTCCGGAGCAATCCACTGCTGGAAGTGTTTCATCCACTCTCCCGCAGTGTTTGGATAGTCCGCGAACAAACCAACCTACCGACCCCCACCCACTTTGATAGAATTGCAATTGGGACGAATCGATTTAGCGACACAAAGGTTTGTCCAGGCTAAGGTTCGAGCGACACTGGCACTGAAGCATCAGAGAGTACTTTCATAGTAATTCTCTTGCAGATGGTGGTCGAATGAGCAAAGTATTCTTTCGCTTTTGTTCCCGCTTCTCAAGTGAACCAGTAGCTGCAATGGCCTGGGCTTGCCTTGCCGGACTTTTGTTTGATGATTTTGACTCATACACGTTCACACAATGCACGCCTAAATCCTGGAAACGTCACTTTTTCCGCCACTGCAGACTTTAGCTGCTTGTATAGCATGCACATTTGCTAAAGATGTTGAGGCATTTTGACGTAGAGATCTTTGCTGACTTGATCGTGTGGGGGTCCGCCAAGGCCTCGTGACAAGAGTTTGCAGTCTCCGCGCTTTCCCGGCGCATTGCATGCGCTCTACCGGCAACCGGAGGAGATTTTGGGAGGGAGGAGGGGAGATGAGTCGCACAAGCTCCAGCAGAGGTAGCTCAAGAGGCAGTTGACAAAGATCTACTGCGTATTTTGACATCTAGGGGACTGGATGCTTTGTTGCTTTTTCAGGCGCAGGCAGTGATTGCCAATGCTTGGTGCAAAAGCTGCTAGCTCGGAGTGTTCAAGCTGATCTAGAAGTCGTTAAGTGTTCCAAGATGTGCGAAGTTACATGTCATGTGCAAAAAGGAGCGTTCTATATAAATTCTCATTGCTTCTAGGTTGGAGGCCGCTATTAGTTAAGTTTCTCTAGGAACCAACTGAATAGTCCGAGCGCTTCCTTGAAGAAGCGTGAGCTATCCTGTCGGTAGTATACTTAAGCTATTAGCTACCTCTCCCTACTAGCTACCTCTACGGCCTTCAACAGAAAGGGTCTAATATAGTTTGCTTCTCACACATCGTCACATCGCAGCTTTCGGACCCAGAAAAGTGCCCCTTCGCTGTGAGAGAGGCACACCTCCCGGAGATCCCAAATACCGGGAGGTGTGCCTCGCTTGCGGTGAAGGGAAGGGTGTGAGATTTGTATGGGCGATATGTCCAAAACAAGAACAAGCAGATGCAGTCAAAATTAACCAACTGCTTTGCTGTTGTTTTCGCTTGATCAAATTCATCATATTATACCAACGCAATGGCGTCCTCCATTGCGTCTTACAGCACGGATGATCCGGAATCGATTCGTCCAAAGTGCTTCGAGTGCAATGCTCGGCACTCAGACCATACGCTTCGATTCGACTTCGATTCCTTGCCAAGTCTATTTTCTATTTGGATCGAACGTCAAAAAGAAATACAACACACCCGGGAATGTCTCATGGAGCATTTGGACCTGTGTCAGTCTTGAGTTTGCATGTCTTTCAGGCACCGGCGATTTGCAAAGCCCTTTGCAGCAGGCAGATTGGGCAAGGGTGGAGTGTCTTATGTTTAAAGACTTGTGAAGAATTATCCTAGTGTCCTAGTTTGATCAGAGAACACGCTTCTATGCCTCTAATTAGGTTGGAGGCCATTGCTTTTGGGTTGGAGGCCATTGCTAGTAGCTTGGTAGTAGGTTGGAGGCCATTTACTTGCGACTTTAAGCAACCAATGTCCCTGTCGTCTCTCCTCTTGCATCTCTTTGCTTCACGCCCATCGTCATCCTCTCACCCACTCTTCCTATCTTTTCTCCCCGGTGTTTTGACTGTTGCCGCTGTCCTTTTTTGCAGTCGCTTTCTTGCTTTTGTCAATCTTTTCAATCCTCTTACCGTCCTTCTCCGCTTTCCCTGCAAAAAATTATCTCATCTCCCTTTTCCATTCATTATCTCTCCTGTTAGCCTTCCTCTTCAATACTTTTAATGCTGTCTTCCTCTTGTTCTGTCCTTGTTCTATCTGTTTTCCTGTCTCACACTTTCCAAGTCCACTGCCACTCTTCCTTTTTTTTGGCTCTTTTGACATTCTTGCAGCTCGTTTTGCATGTTTGCTTCTCCCTGCTTGAAAGTCAGCAGTCCTTCCGTTCTGTGCCTTTCGTTGTTTTCTTTGAAATGCATT